CTTTCAACTGCTTCCACACGCCTGCCTAAAAATAAAGGAATGCGCCCCCCATGCAACAATAATTTTTAATCCTTCAAATTTTAAACCAAATTCGGAAAACGAATTTTCTTGCAAGCGAAACTTCTTAAAAAATGAAGGAAGCTGTGATGAACTTCACTTCAATTCAGCGAATTGAGCATAATCAGGTAACGAAGTAATGTAGGAGGCTCGTTGCTTGGTTTCCCTGCGGGCCCAGTACATCAATCATTCTGCAGAGGATGTCTTCAAAAAGAAATCACTCCGCTGCAAGTGCTCTAATGGTGGGGAATATGGTACGACGGGCAGGCTCTCACTACCTTGTGGTTCTTTAAAGAATCAAAAGAAGTATGGGTTGTTGTGAAATCGCTAAATATTTAACGAAAAGAAGAGAATTGACAAACATCTCTACATTCTTTTGCCCCTTCCCATCCCCTCACCTGCCTCACCCCATAACCTTGAGACTCTATGGTTCACCAAAACCTACTCCACTCTCAATAAAAGCGAAATCTGAATTCTGAAAAGTTATTACAGCAAATGGACCTCCTGGATACTAGTGTACCTAGTTATCCGGGAAGCCGTATAAATGAGGTAGTGCGAAGCCAACCATCATCGATCTGACCCAACGCAGTGTTTCATGGCTTCTAGTTTTTCTAGGTAGGCCTACAAATGAGGTAGTGTAATACTAGTAGACTAGGTGGGTGCAGTCATCGATACCGCTGAAGCGCCACATGCTCTCAGTTTTTTTTTGTCCGATAGAAGCAGATTACTTGAGATAGTTCAAAAAACTCATATTATTACACCTAGTTGCTTCTGATCGCCTCGCAATTCGGATAAAATTCAATAGGGATTGGAACGAATAGCAGTGAAAGGCACCCAATGCGGGAGGAGGGCACCAAACAGTGGGCGTGGCGTTCGCCGGAGTGGGAGGTGTTTCACCTAGTACCAGAAGAATTCAATGATTCCAAAAGGCACATGGGAACTAGTGCGTTAAAAATAAAAGGCAATGGAAACGACTGCGTCAATAAATCATCGGATGGAAATTGAAAAGCAGCCGAGAGGGTTTTTGCGCTACAATTTCACATAATGGCTATGTATTCTTCACAGAAACGCTACATATGTTCGATGAGTCATGCGAGAGCGAAGGAAAATGAAAACATAATCGTACATCGCCCCGAAGAAACACATAGAAAGACATATGCATATACATATTACTACATAATGGAACGTAAGGAACGCTTTGATGGAAATCCCAACTCTCTTGAAACACTTTACTGATACACTCCAAAAAACCGAGGGGAAAACGCTCAATGCAACCCCAATGGCGTGGTCGTGGGCTTAGCTGAGGTGATACGCCACATCTGGGAGGAGATTCAGGTTTTAGTTGGCGAGTTCACTGTTCAGATTTGCTAGCAGCTTGGCTGGTGGCCATTCAAATTTTTTGAGGGTGATTGGAAACGTATATTGCCATGGGACATATGAATTGAGAGACAGATTTTGAGCAGACATGGCCGAGCGCCGTGAACGGACCAATTGCTTTCTTAATGGGTTTTGCTCTTGAAAGCAGTAGTCGCATGAGAGGCCCAACGAGAACAAATTAGTTGGAACTTAGGGATAAGAAAGATCCAGATGGTTCGAATGGATAGATTCTTGAGGCGCTAATTCCAAGAGACTTGAAGATTTGCCTTCAGACCTTAGTTAGTACCATCAATTCGAAAGGCTATACGAGAAATGTGAAATACAAATGAATAAGCGCCCATTATGGTGGACATTTTCGTGTTGCGCCGTGCACTGGGCTTTTATCAACAACTACGACGGATTAGATTTTTATGAAGTTCTGATTCAAGTGAGCATAAGGTGGATTTTGGTGGAAAAGTTGTGAAGACGAAAAAGTGAAGATTGAATCAGTAGCTATTTAGGAAACATTGTTTTCGAGATTTCGAAACAATGCTTTTCAGCGCTTCCCTTCTGAAAGGGCCCCCATTAGCAGCAGAATCTCGGCCATGGCTTCAACAAACGACTCGCCTTATATGTGAGCCGATCGCCCACTTTTCAGCTTACGAAACTAAAGGGAGCAGCTAGTACCTACTGACCGTCTTTCATTCCTGTGAAAAAAAAGCTCTGTTCACCCTTTCTCCATTGTCATGTGTTCCAGGCATTCAAATTTGCTGCCGAATCTGTAATACAGGCAAAAGCTACAAGCTCCCGGCTCTCTTCCTTCAATAATCTTCCCCTTTTACCCCTACTTCCCATTATCTCAGGGGAGATTCCGTTGTTAATGTCTTCCTAGCTCTAACAGTGAGCAGTTGTGCAGGCGAAGTTCAATGAATTTCCAAGAACTCTTTTGTGTGGGAATGAACCCAGTTCAAAACCCGATAGAACAGCTGGTTTCTAGTCAACAAAGGATCCTGGAAAGTGTCAAAAGAACCAAACATAAAGACATAAGTCACTAATGAGCGAAGCATTCATCAAAATTATAGTCATAAAATTAAACAGACGAGAAAGACGCTTCCCTGATAGCCCGTAGTCAATGGCCTAAGATGCTGTTGATCTGGTCGGGGAATAGAAAACTCGCCTTGAATCGGGCGGACTGGACGAGAGAGAGAGCGCGCTTGCGTTGGCTGATTAACTTGGGCAGAGGAGGTTGACAGATGTAGCTTTGACGCCGGGATTCCGACACCGAGCTAACGTCATCTTCGTCGATAACGGCAAGCTTCAAATGAAAAACGATGACGAATCGCGGCGCCGCTCTTAAGCCGATACGTCGGGCAGGTTGGGCACTAATGGTCTGGGAAAACAGCCATACATCCACAGGAGTTGTAATGACAGGAAGGTCCATCAATCGCTCAGCTCAGGGACCGACTCGAACTGAATTTGCCCTGTCTAGTCAGTGGGAGCCTCACTTTTACTAACCAAAGTTTGACCATTCAGTTGGTGAATCAAGTTAGGGAGGGCCCTGCGCATGGGCTGCTCCTACAAGTCTCTTTTCGTCTGATGAGGCTCTCGAAACTATTATATTCGTGATTGATTGTTTCTTTTTTCAGTTTAATCCTGTCCGTGAGGCTACCCAAGCAATGGCAGTGTGAATGAATCCATGACAGAGCTCTAAAAGATCACACAAAATTAAAATAACTCGACAATGAGGGGTGAATAGAGATTCTGGAAACCTCAATACTACACTACTTGTTATTTGTTCAGAGGCAGCTATTTTTGATTTTTAATCCCCTCAAGTTTATATAAACTAATATTTGAACACTTGATCACATACATGAAGAGCAAAAAGCACCCTCATCAGATTTTGAGGTACAAAATCCAAACGGAAGTAGCAGCCTAACTTGGAAAAGTAAAGTCAGAAGGATAACGTATGCCCAATGGCTTCATAGTAATTGAAAACAGTAGCCGGATGCAATTTATCTTCCTACAGATCTGTTTTAGTTTAAGCAAAGCTGTGAGAAATCTGGGACAGCTGTTGAAAAGGCGCTGTTGTCGTTGTTGGGTGGGCGATGGAAGAAAGCAGCAGACACGGAGTCGGGTCGGGGAGGTTAGCGTTGCTGGGTGATGGTCGCCCGCATATCTGTCATTCCAAGCGCGGAATGCTTGCTTCGATAAGAAATGTCAGCTATTAGTCAGTGATCGCCATGATTGCATCGCCAGTTACGGGAATCATCTCAATGGGCATTTATGAAAAGCCCCCATAGATAAGAAGCATTTTCAATAGTGTGACGAACGAAGATTGGATTCAAAGGTAGGACAGAAGAATGGAAGACGTAGGTAGCGGAACGGGTTGGATATTTAACGATCGCATGGCGGCGTCGATTCTTCTATATGTGAAAGAAACTAGGTAAGCGCTGATTAGGAGAAAGGTAGCATAAGGATCGTAGGATAAAGTTTTGACGTCAGTCAATCCCGTTTCGGGATGCGTCCCCGCCGTTGACTCTCATTCAAAATCGTAACGACGATTTGAATGCGTACGGAAACTATACATACAATGACTTGCGGTGGTCATTCCACGCATCTAGACAGGCGAGCTTGGTCCGGGGGTGGAAGCTTGCCTTATACAGGCAGATATTGGGCAAGGATTCAATCTCTGGACCACCTATATGTGTGGTAGTTAGCTACTTGCCCCTACACCACCTCCGCCACTAAATATTAGGACTAGGAAAATTCGAAGATGGACGGATTGCTGACGGGTCGACCCCTCCGCCTTCATGTCCATCATGTCCTGAGAATCCTAGAACCATACAAGAATCGGTCCAGCAGATATTTGATATTTGAGATATATGTGATATTTGAAAGCGGGGTGTGTGCTGATAATCTTTCCATATTCTCCCAATTCCATGGTAGCTTTTGGATCGAAGAGGAAAGCGAGTTCTGCCACTTTTTAGCGTTTCAAGCGAATGGGATCCTGAAGAGGTCCGGTCTACTGTTAACTTAATACGCTTAGTGTTGAATAGTTTTTTCTTCGAATAAAACATAGTGAATCAGAACTAAATTAATCAAGGTGAAGAAGATGTTTCCATGGATGAATTAAGGTTACGGAAAGAATGAAGTAATAAAGAAAGAAGATATTTAGCTATTACGGGAAACAATAGCAAATGTAGCCTTCGTTTATTGATTTTTTGCCTCACGCTAGTGAAGGGCGATAATGAGGTTGCTACACAAGTTACATCGCGCTAACACTGTTTCTACCTGCTAGCGACTCATCATTTTCAAAGTTATTACAAGTCTTAACCTGCCACTTTGGTATTACGACCGCCACTGTACGACAATCAAGGTGGCGACGGGAGGCGTGACCTTCGCGATGGGTGGAGCTCGTTCTGTTGGGATTTTAGACCCAAATTTCAAAAGTCAAGTTTGGTTTTCGGAAGAACAGCAACGGACACTCACTTATTCTACGTTGTCATGCTTATTACACAACCAGTGAGATAAGCTGATCCGTTAATATAAAGTCACGCTGATAGTGTTTATCAGTGGTGAACTTCGCAATGTGGGGTGTTACGTCCGGTGATATGACTGCCGGTAATATGAGACATCAACAATACGGTTGCCAGTACGGTTCCCTTCCTGTTTATATGCATTTCATCGCCAACCCCATCAACATCTATACTATATGTTCGCATAAGCGAGAGTTAAAACAGGAGAAAGGGGACATTTCCGTTCTACTGTGTCTCCTATGCTACGACACAAAAGGTCTTGCTAATCAATAATGAGTTGTCAAAAGAGAATAAGAGAGAAGAAGTTAAAAAACATGGTGTCTAATGTCCCTTCCTCAGAGTAATCATGTTTTCAGAGTGAGGCTCTTCAGTGATAAGAGATTCAGCTCCACCGATCCAGTCCAGGACAGATGGGATAAGTATGGAATGGATAATACAGTTAACAACAAAAACAAATAAACAAAAGACAAAACCTACCGAAGAGGGAGGAGCAAATCAAACCCCAAAAAAGGGGGAATCATAAATTTTAAAGATAGGATAGTGAATAGCCTGCGAAAACGATTTTGATTTAGGTGACAGCACTACGTGGTAGCCACTCCAGCAAGACTCAGCTATGGTAGTGTGCACAAGGATATACAGTGGTTAATGGGGGCGGTATCACAGGAATGGTCCAAGTGTGAAAACACAAAGTTCAACTCGGTCTATTTTTCCTTTCAAGAGCAGTATATGAATACCAACCTCCCTTGAATCAGTAGAAGGGTAGATTCCAAATGTTAGTGCGATCCTGCAATCTGTTTTCCCGTTCTAAACGAGAGGAGTCTGAAGCGTGAGCACATCCCAAAACAAGAACGGTGGGTGCCAAAAACTCCATCTTTTCTCAATGGCTTTCAGAAACGATGGTATGGTGTTTTTGGTGGTTAATCGCAGCATTACACGGCGGGATCTGCTCTAGGAGCTAGAAAAGTGTTCGAAGACATAGATTTATTGCTACGTGTTGTCTTTTGGCAGAGCGAGGCTCACACACTGACTATGAGAGCAATCCATACACAAAAAGTGACGGAGAATTATTGCCTACATAGTCGAGTTTGGCTCATTTGGTTAGGTACGTCCTGCTATTCCAACATTTCCCAAAAATCTCATGTACCTACGTCTCATACCCTCAGGTAATATCGAAGAATTTTGAAAGATGAAGTGACAATGGAGTAGGACAAATGTCGCTTGGAAGAGTCAACGTCTGACAATGGCAGTCACGGTTCTCCTGTTCCCTACAGCTGTCAGAACATATTTGTCAAATATTTCTTTCTTAGGAGAATTCACGAAAAGAACGGCCTCTGAATGGGTGGGAACACGAGCGTTTCACGACCACAATACCTGATCAGACGCCCACATCGAAATTGAACACATTGGTGGACAAAATACAACAAAAGTTCTTATGTACTCTAGGTATCTGCTGAAATGTGAGCCAGGAGCTTCCGGAGAAGAAAAAAGAATGAGTCAAAAAGAGTTAGTACGAGCTGGCATAATGCCAAGTAGTCAACTACCATCTGTATCGTGACGGGTTCTTTGTTCACCCGGGCCAACCAAGATTTCACTCAACGCAGGTCGATTGATTTGTGTTTGAGTCAATGTTTTAACCTCCTAAGCATAAATGGTATTTGCCCAGTTTTATTTGGGAGGTTGAAACATTTGTTTGTACTCAAGCAGCCCCGAACGCAGTATGGACTGATAGCGAACTCAAACGTCACTACGAATCTGTACTAATTCGATGATCGGGCGCACCTCAAAGCGGACTTCGTCAGCGCCAAAACCTTTGTATCTATCCATCAGAGCCGAATTAAGCGAAGCCCGTTCACGATGAAAAGCTACACCAAGGTGCAAACGGAAACAGAAGTGATCGGTCCTTGGCTGAGCAATCAAAATCGTGGGCCAGTTGAGCTGGTAAGCAAATGATCGTAGATAGTAAGGGTATAGCAAAACTTCTCATCAGAACACAACTCTCACCACCTACAGTGGGGTCCTAGCAAGCATTCCTCAGTTGTCATAGAACAGCTATGAAAATTTATTCTGGGGAAAACGCGATGAATGAAGGAACAGATGAGCTTTGACAATTCAACATAAGCGCTGACTTAGCTGGAATTTCTAAAAATTGCATGGAATTCTTGAATATTGTGGAGGTAGACTGTAGGAGACGTGGCACGATGGCTTGGAATGATAATGGCGAGAGGAAGCGCTGATCGATTGGAATCCGTTGACAAAAACTCTTCAGTTTCAAATGTGACTGATTGATTGTCAGTCTTTACCAGCAGCAGCTATCGCTGCAACTCAGACGAAAGGAACACTCACCTGATAACTTTGATGATTGAAATGACAGCATAGATTATAAATTTCTAAACCTATGAGTACCCCGGTTGCTTATGGACCTACGGGAAGGCAAGTTTCAGCGGTTTAAAGCTCTAAATCCAAAGCTTTGTTCCACATATAAGTTTTGTTCATACGTTGTCATGTCCGAAATGAAACTGCTCAGGAGATACCCATTGGTGTAAAAAGAAATGAATCAGAGACCAGAGAACCAGGCTTTCTCATACATTTTCTTCTCCGGCGTTGTAGGATCAGGTGACGGCATGGAGCGTTTGTATGAAGTTCCTGCCAATGTGAGAATGAAGTTAGGAATAAACTGTTAGAATGTTCCTGTTCTTTTGTTGTATCCTATCGTCAAATCCCCGAACGAAAGGAATGTTGGACCCGTGAAGCGAGGACGATCTACTGGACCACTCTGGCTCGTGGCACGGACGAATGAAGACGTTACTAGCACGCGCTCGAGTAAGTCGATGATCAACGGGACGGCAGGTGATATAGGTGATCGTCGACTCCAAGAAAAACCTGACTTGTCTTGAGTTGAGGATTCATTCTCCACGGCAACTCTTTTGCCAATAAACCAAGCAAGAAGAGGTGGAAAGTTCGGGTACCCTGGTATCAATTCTGAATTCACCCCTATGCATGTGACGCTGCCTCCACATCACCTCCACCCTGTAAGGCTGGAAGAATGGGTGAGATGTCACGGTGGAAATTCAGTGTTCCATTTAAAACTAATGCAGGTAAACAATTTTGTATAAAAATGAAATGTAGGACCCTATCTGTTGCAGTGGGTCCACAAATGCTAGCCCTCGCCTAGCGCGGTGCTCAGGAACGATGAGTATCTAGGAACTTCCGAAGTGAACTTACTCCTGTTACGGTCTGCACCAAGTAAAACAGTGAGAGGTCGTTTTGATAGGCTCTCGTGGTTCTCTTGGTTACACACCTGATCTTATACATAGGATTTGCGCTATCCGAAGGCGAGAAATACAATCTGTGACTGGATTTGTTGTTTTGTTTTTGTTTTTTAGTGCTTCTTTGTTTATTTGCGAAAATTTATTGTCATCGACTTCATGGTTCGTAGCAGAGTGCTTCAGATGGGCTGCATTTCGCCTCGGGAGGATTGCGACCATCCTGAATGCAGTCATCATCCGTTTTGCATGGGGCACCTGGCGTGTAAATCTCGTCGTCAACCATGTTACCACTGAAAATCGTAAGTTTAAATTCGTAGAAAAATATTTTTCCTCAAAAACTCCCATGTTTTCACATTTCACCTGAATGCACTTACAATGGAGCGTATTCACATCCCGCGAAAGTCATGTCATTGCACCATACTACTCCACATCCAATCACATAGCTTGACTGCCAGGCCATCTGAACATCTCACTTAAGTATCAGGTAAACTACCATTGTTGGAAGAATTTGACATCACCTGAGTAAAACGAGTAATATTTCTTGCAAAGGCAATGTCCAAGGTCAACACCAAATCCTGAGGTGCACCGTATTTTTTCACTTCTTCATACCATTCCCTGACACACTAAAAGGATCACAGTTGCATTTCGACAACTCTCAGTTCTAACTCAATGTTCTTACGGCTTTCGCAGCTTGGGTCTTGTTCATGTTGAGCTTTGAAGTTTTCCATAAACTCTGCCCCCACCATTTACGCCAAGTCCAAGGATTGCTCTCATATTTGCATTTTTTCAGCCAATCCATCATGTCATCCTCGATTTCACAGCTGTATTTCTGAAACAACCTGGGTAAGTTCCTTCTTGGCATGTTGAGCAACTAATGTTCAGTTGAGGTCTACATGTTGAATATCTCTTATGTAGTCATACCACTTTCATCATGGCGGCCGCTTGAGGGAGTGTAGTACCTGAAGCACCGTTCGGGGCCTTTCCTCTTGCTATGTGCGATCTGAACACCTGTCAGTGGATTTACCTATGTTCCAGTAGCTACCCAAATAAAACTGACCGATAATCATTGTGCTTATCGACGAACATCTGCCTGATTTCATCATTCATTCCATCCTTGTCTCCGCACAGTGTCTTGAAAGCTAGAAAGTAAATGGGGGAAATTCATTGATCTGTAAATAAATTTATTGCTAATTGCTGAAATCTACTCACAGGAATCAGCTGCACTGATGTAGGCCTGAAAAGGAATAACAAAATTTGAATTCGATAAAAACCTCGACACCAGAAGGAACATATTGGCTCACCTGAAGGAGTATAGCGAGGATTATGAGCATGTTTGGGATGGAATTGGAGTCATAGTGACACTAGGGCTTTTATACGGGATCTGGAACAATGCCCAGAGCAAGTCGATACTTGTACTTGGGAAAGCTACCGATCAGAATACAATGATACGATTGTTTGTTAAACAAAGTTTTTTATTACCAAAATGCCCTTTGTTCAGGTGTGGCACGTAAAAACATCAAACTGATTTGTCCTCTTCAT